CTTTTATCGGCGGTTCTTTTATTTTCACTTGCATCGGTCATGAGGCATTCCTTTCTTCTTGTAAGTAGTTTTTTCATCGCTACCCAATCTGTCGTTATTCGTCTAATTACAAAAAATTATCTCTGTGCTGAATTGAATCCAGTCGCTGCTTTCTGGGTTTGTGTGTTTTATTATGAAGAAAGCTTTGTGAATTGTATTGCTGCTGTGTTGACGTAAAGGAAAGCAGGTTGTCGCTTCGGCGAGCCATTCGTCACTGAGTCCTTTTTCGATATCTGCATCGATTATTGAAGCTGCTGTTCTTATATCTTGTTATCCAACCGTTACTTTTCGTTTGTAGCAAAAGAGGATATGTTGACAGTTTTGATTCAGTTGATTTCTGACTCATTCCCCTTATTTTGGAGAACTGGTCGCTGTGGTTGTTCTTAGACCTCGTTCACAGTTAGGAGGCCCATGCCCTCACATAGATTTATTGGTAATTGTCTTGGGTTTTTTCAACTTCTGGTATGTTTCAGGGTGCGTTAAGTTATTGCGTGCTTTTAAATATGAAGCATATATATCTGTATTACGGTCCAGCTTATGTGCTATTCTTCGCGGTCAATTATTTAGCCCCGATTAAGAAGCAATTCGTATTTCGCTGTATAAAATTGGCTCTTGTAATTTTTGTAACTTTTGCGTTGTCACTTGGTAAGTATTCCAGATGCAGTGGTGATTTGACAATTTTCATGGAAATTTGGTTGTTTTGAGATTTTTCAAATTAAAATTTGGCAAATACTAGGAATAAGTTGGCATCTTTTGGTTTTTGTGGCGAAAAATTGAAACTTTTGTAGAAAATTCAGCAGGTGTTACCAAATGACTCGTAGTCTCTGCATTAATTCGTCGTTGTTACTGAGATGTACTCAGTAGTTGAATATATCTTTGCTCGATTGCATATTCTTGAGAGCCGTCCCTTTTTATGAGTATTATACACCGACTGGCAGTATCTGTTCTTCTGAGCCTAGCAATGCCCCGCGAACTAACTTGTAATTTGTTCTTGTGCTCGCTACAATATTCTACAGTGAAACGTTTATTTCCTCTTTAGTAGCAGAGCTATTATATGCGTCTTTCGGCTGACTATCCTCTCTGTTATTGTCTTGGATTTCCACTAGCGATCGCCGCTTCCCACCACCTAGTATCAAAGGAATTTATAGTTCTACACACATCGGTCCTATCCTAGGATTTATCCCATGCAGTAGCCATAAAACAGCAACTTTTGAATAAAATTTCTACGTGCGTTTAAATGATTTCTGCCTTCGAATCTCGTTGCAAATGTCTGGCCGTTGCGCAGTCTCACCGTGTTTCAGGACCCTTTGTCTACGCCTGTGGCGGAGCCGTTTTGCTGCAGATATGGCGACGATTATTCCCGTTCAAGCGCGGCCTCACGCATGCTTATTGGGCTCCAAATTTATGGGCAATTTACAATTTCATTGATTGGTATTTTTATCAAGTTCTGAAACTAACGAAACGATTGTCATCGGATATTCGTCCACCCATGTACACTTCGGGCCTTGTACAGGTACAGTTTTGCTACACGCATGCAACTTTGCTGTCCGTTGCAGAGAGACTTTCTTTTTTAGTTCGCTGTTTTAAGAGAAACAGTGTGTTTAATGATGCCAGCATCGGCTGCACGAAGACGGTTGACATTTTACTTCCCTTATTAAAAACTTCCATTCATTCAGTGATGCACATGAGGAGTTGATAAGATTTATCTTTCACAGTCCTAGTTTGAGAAAACGTCAAAATCATTCGTATGAGATCATATCCGTAGAATAGGAGATAAGGGATTGGACAAGTTTCATGTGCTAGAAGTGTTTGATAAAAAAAAATTACAATTATGAGCAAAAATTTTGACTGACTGGCATATGTTAAGTAAACAGTACAATTTTTAACTAAAAAGGGCGACAAAGTTTGTCTGTGATCAAAAGATACGCCATTCATCCCGAATATGACAAAGTTATCCGTCGTGGATGAACTTCATCTAATGAAAATAAATGGCCAGCGCACCGACTGCCGGTGCGAAGTTGTGCTTTTTTGCATAGTTCCCGCAGCTTTTTGTCACTAACGGCACCGGTTTTTCTTGCAAATGCTTCTAGCTAAGATAATTGAGACTGGCCATCGGAGCTGTCTGAAAACATCCCTTTAAAATTTCAGCTTTCTAGCTTTCCTGGTTTCCAAGTTAGCAACATATTTGCAAGAAACTTTCATGGGCCCGTACATAGAAACTACTCATACCCGGGAACTGGGCGTGAACTCACTGAGACCTACGTGGACGTGGAACATCCCTTTAAAATTCCAGTCTTCTAGTTCTCAGGTCCCCGAATTAAAAAGGCAGCCGAAAAATTTTGGCGAGCCCGTGTGTGGGTACCACGCGAGTAAGAGCGCCTGTTTTTTAGGTTGGGGTCCGTACATGCACGTAGATTAAGTTCTCACAATTTCAGCTCTGTAGCTGTTGTAAGTCTTTAAATGAAAAATCGGTACAGACAAACACGCAAACAACCCCTCCTCATTATGCGTTTTCTGCATTGTACAGATGCAAAAAATGTATAAAAACTCAATTTTTGCAGTTAAACCAAGTAATGAAGTGTCTTCTTACCGAAAAAACTACGATTTTTTGGAGCTGTGTGACTATTTTGAGTAAAGCCATTAGAATACAGCAATCAAAATTAGTTTAGGAGTTTTCGCATTCTGTGTTGCCTTCTGTGTCGGCTTTTGGAGCTCTGATAACGACGGGAGTATTATTGATGCCGGTGTTGATGCTGGTGGGTACGAGGCATATCCGGAACTTTCCTCTTTTGCTTACTTTATCGGCATTCGCATTCTTCCTCGCTGGCTACCATGTGCATGAAAAAGCTGTAATACTCATCACAATCCCGTACACCGTTTTGGCTGCAATGGTGCGTCCATATTCATTCACTTCGTAATTCCTTTCTGCCTCTTTGAGATCACTGGTTTTCGATTTGAGTTCTGATGTTGTCGCTTTGCACTCACAAGTCAGAGCAGTTTACCAAAGCATCCGTTCTAAGTTCCATGTCTTCTTTTCAAGCCTGCCACATGCACTATTTCATGCATCGTTTCTCTGGGGGCTGATTAAGTGACCATTTTCCTTTTTGTGCACACCACTTTCTGATGGTCAGCAGAGTAGCCTAACAATATGTTCTTTTCATCAAAAAAACGAATGGAATATGTTCTGGTCCACAAATTTCATTGTTGCAGGATCACCGATTGTTACCATCGTATTTGCTGCTTTCCTTTGTTGCAAATGTTTCGCTTTTCCCTCTCTTTTTTACTCTTTTCGAAAATCTTCTGAAGGTATGACTTTTAAACTTTACAAATAGAAAAATTAAAATTGATACTTCGAGGAAGAGATGACGAGTTATGCCTGTCTGTAACGATGTACTTCTGTTCAGTGCTGAAATTCTGACTGTGTAACAAAATTTAAAAATTTAGGTTTCGATTTCGCTTTGCTATCTGTTTTTTTCATGGACAGTAATGCGTTTTGTGTGCCCTCAGGGAGCGCTCTGTGTTTTGCAAAAGCTTTACATTTGTGGGTTATTGGTCGTTCAAATTTATTGTCTGCTGGTACATCAGGTTGGTCATTGCTTTTTGAATAAAAAACCCCATATATATGAGATTTTACAAATGCTTCAAGTTCGATAAAGCATTTTCAAAATTTAACATAAAACACTTTCCATTCACATCATATTGCGGCGAAACAAAATCTGAAGAAAAATAGCTTCATTTTACAGTTTTTCTGGCTTACCTGTAAGTGTCGGAACTTTATCAGTTTCGGAAAAGACGCGGAAAAAGACCGAAACGGTTTGAAACGGGCACGAATTACCAATGCTGCTCAGATCACCGGGGTGATCGGCATGAAGATCTGACGTTAATAGGGTTGCTGCCGAAATGCACTCACTTGCTAAGACCAGCTCTACGCTGGTTTGATGTTGCGTTAAATCTCAAAGTGTGGTAGGATTGTCTGGTCAAATATGTACACATAAACTGTGCGGGCAAATAAATCACTCTGAAGCCTATCTGAAACGCCGACAGCTTTGCCACTGAATGGTTGCTGTTACATTTGTTACCACTCGGATTACTTTCTAAGAGCCTTCACAAAGAGGAATGCAGAGGAGGTTTTGATTTTGAATAATTATAGCAAAGAAAGCTACAATAGAGTTAAAATGCAAGTCACCTATTTTCATTACAAGGGAGAGAGTTATACTCCGATTTTAAAGTACAAACGAAAAAAAACTTGATTGTGACGAAGGCTCTTCAGCTTACAATTTAAGCTTGCTGCTTAATTGAGTTGAACATTAACAGAATAAATAAGCGTGTCAGGAAAAAGTAACAAATTAGCACGTGGAAACCGTTATTAATGTATAAGAAAAGAATTAAAGTCGGACAAATTATGTGATAATTAGCAGGTTTCTCGATTTTGCTTGCAGTCTCACCTGTAAAACGCATATATTCTAACGCAGAATGGAATGGTAGAAGCATAATAATTGAAACAGTCCAAAAGACTGTCTTTTGCTCCAGTTCTTTCGCAGTGATGGTACAGATTCACAAGTCGAAAATGGCTCCTTTGTAAGCTGGACGGCGGGACAAATTTCCTGTGCGTGATTTCCAACTTAGCTTCTTGTCAGCACAGAAAAAACTTATTGCTTAATGCTGTGTGGTTTGAAGTGCAAGAATGTCAGAAAGTGCTGTGACCATAAGGAAGTAGTTCTGCTTTTCATGCTAAAAGTGTTGTGGAAATTTTAAAGATACAAACAATGGCTAGAAGATTGAGAGAGGACAGGGCCTGAAATCTTCTGTGTGTTAACATATGCAGTTTATTTAGCGTTAATGGCCCACCTTGGAGAGGAACACAATCGAATTTTGATAATTAATAAAAACACTGGAAGTGACATTTAGATCTCCTAAATAAGCAAGCCTGTATGTGCAGTGACTTGGTAGCCTGTCTGTGTTTCATTCAAGAACAAGTCAAAATTTTGATTCCATCTTTGTTGAAAGGACTGTTCGTGGCATCCCCCCGTGCTTCATTCGTTCGTTAATTTAATATCATCTCATGAGAGGTAGTCGAGACGCCAACAAGGTGCTTGTAAGCAGCCTGCACAAGCAGAAGTCACGGAGAGCTCTGCTAGCGGATGGTTACAGTTGCACATAATACCTTCAGAGCTACTTCCGAATGCTTCTCATAGTGAGCAACTGTGGTGGGGGTTCAACTTTAGACTTTGATGAAACTATAAAAAATTTTGCAAGAAAACATGTTTTTGGCACCCATTCTGATCTAAACAATTGTATGTTGTTTTTGAAGCATTACTTTCGCATGTTCAAGGCGTAAAAAAAAGGAGGCTTCATTTTTTCAGTGGCTATTTGGCGCTAACCTCAAATTTATCCCTCTTATGCTGACGTCATTGTCAACGGCTGCTGGCATTTGCTGGGCTTACTTGGAACTGTTATGGATTATTACCTTTGAGGATGCGCATGCTGTATGCATCTGCGGAAAGAAACAGAAATCAGTTTAGCTTCTGTTTTTATGCTCCACCTGTACATTCCAGTGACGCCACTTCAAGTGCTGGACGATGCGTCATTTCAGTAGTTTATTTCCGGCTGCCTGGCATTAGCTGCACCCGGCATGTGGGAGTACCCTAATAAAATCACTAATAGGGGATAGCCATAACGACAGCCCGAGCAGTCTCGGTATTTTCGGCTGGCTGGCTTGATGCGACCACAAATGACATTTCTCTGTCGCTCCGATTGGTGTTCAAATCCACCAGCGCATGTAGTAATCTCCTTAGCCATTCGTTCCGATGGCTGACTTGCTACTGTCACTTGTCGGAAGGTCAAGATCATCTCTGTCACATTTCGCGAAGGAAGCTAACGGCTATCACGCTGATGTTCACTACTAATAAAATGGTACCGCTCAGGTCAATTCCGAATATCCTCGCATTTCGCAGCAAATGGAATACAGACATGTTTCGAATTTGCTTAAGTAGATGGCCTTACAGTCATAGTCTGTTTCCAGATACCTCTGAAATGTGAAGCAGCAGGGCCACTGTTCATAAACGCATCTTCTCTTTCTCACCGTAGAAAGACCGGTAGGGCCTTCCCATTTACTACAACTCATATTTCCTTAAATCGCTCAGTACTACGTGAAGTTGGAATTGTTCTGTGATTTTCTGGCAAACATCCTTTCTTTAAGAGATGGGAGGTTGTTGTTGTTATTCAGATTGTTATTTGTAATTTCCGTACATTTCGGTTTCTGCGGAAAATTTTTCAGATATGTAACGGGGATATTATTATTGTGGTTTGTATAAAACTCACTTCTCCGTCAGATGAGCGGCATGCATGATATCACTATAACCATGCGAGATAGTAAAATCCAATGGGCAGGGCATACTGCTCGCGTTGTCAAAAACCGATGGAAAGTACGCATTAATAAGTAGTAAGCGAACACTCCGGCAACTCTCAGAGAGGCGATGTACAATGCATCGAACAAATGGTGGATACTAACGGAAGCATGCAGCTTGAGATCGAAAGGCCTGGCATAGCTGCATTCGGTGTGGATACTCACACTTATAGCCTGAGCGATATTGGTATTCTTGGTATAAAAGCTCTTTAACAAGGCAAGACAAGAATTGCTTGGATGTAACACGCATAAGTTTAATAGCTGCCACTTTCTTTTCCTTCGCGGCTTTTCGCTTCCCGGGAGCGAATAATTGACTCATCATTCCTTCTAGAGATTAGCTGCAAGCACTACTTATGGGGATGAAGCGAGAATGAAGCAGATGAAGGAGAAAGACTGTAGAAACCAATACACCGCAGCCAATATTATTCAATACGTGAATATGAGCATCTAGAGAAGAGGCCAGTTTTTCGAACTGGGTAAATGAGGTGGCGGACTGAAGACAGCGTGTCTTAGCGCCTTGCTTTGCTTTTGACTCGGGGCGATTCTAGCAGGGTTCCCGTTTTCCTCTGCCTTTTAAACGGTTTGTCACTCCCGAACGAGCTGTAGAGATGCGTGAAGAGCTTCAGTTTTGTGACGGAACGTATACCGCACATATATTAGCAGTATAAAATCACTCGGTCGTTGTAATGAAGTTGTTTGTGAGTCAGTATTTGTTCAGTTTACGATGGTAGCTGTGACGCGTTTGTACA